TCAGTTCACGCTTCATTTGCCATATACACGACGAATTCCCATTTGAAATCGTGGAGTTGTTCGGAGTGCTGGGCTTTCTCCACACCAACTGTCAACATTAATCAGTTACTTACCCTCTATTCCCGTCAGCCAAAACCTTTGAATATACTGATAAAGGGGTGTTATGTCAAGTCATCTCAAACCAATCTGACATTGAATTGTTTTCGGATAGTTTAATGAAGTGCAATTATTCTCGAATCAATCCGGTCTCCAGTTTAATGCTTCTAAATGTTCCGAATGCGTTTTTAGTCTTTTCCGGTCTGATAATACCTTAGAACCCTCTGTACCCATTCCCAGATCACATACCACCAAATACATAGGAGTTGCCATAGAGGACAATCCACAGTGGTCCTCCCATCTGCTAGCCTGTGTTGGGAAACTGTTCCGCCTTTCCTTCAAGATGACTTAAGCAATCCACGACAATTTGGGGTGAAACATTGAACTATATGTTCTTTTGTTTATCAGTGCATTTTACGGTCATACCTTAGTGCTTGCCGGTTATATTCCCTACGTACTTACGAATAATTGCAATACTCTTCGCCGCAGTTTGTATGGCATATTTATCTTATTCCTATGATCACTATGGTCACAAAACTGTGTGCTTTTCCTATTATTTCATGTGAGAATTTCTCCTGCGTATGATGATACTCAACGACTCCAGTCGTTCGCTCAATCCCCCGATCTATCTGCTTGCCGTTCCCACACTACCACTGCTTATCTCTCCCCATAAAAATTTATCGTAGTTCAATGGTACCCTATTTGGCTTGTATTCTAACTGTCAAGAAGGAGGAAAAGATCGTACAAGAATCACTTTCTACTGAAGAGCTTTGGTTATTTCATCCTTGTTCGAAAAGATCAGAAGCACAATCCATTGAATTCCTCCCCTACATTGTAACCCGTCACACTAGTGGCTGTTCATCCATGATTCGACCAACTTGGTTTGTGCACAAGTGATCTCCCCGTCGCTCGGTTCACTTGAACACAATCACATGAGGCAATACCAGTATGTGATTGTCGTTTGATTCAAACGGGACTTCAGACAATGATCGACTCTCAGCCGTACAACTTCTCGGGATTCATACTGACTTATAGTGCGCCTAACGCTAGAGGCTAAGTCGGTTGCTCAAATATTGGCCACAGTTTCTTGGGCATAGGATACGGAGCGGTGTGCTCAGCACCGTGCAGGACTGTTTTCCGACTCGGTCGCCCAGTCCGGAGTTGTTGGTGAACTAACAGCACCTCGTCGGACCTTTGTCCGTAGTAATTCCGCAGGCATGGAAGGAAGGGGTGATTTCTCCCATTTACAAAG